CGAATTATATGAAGAATATTACTAACTGTAAATAGCTTGACACGAGGGTAGTGCGAGAAGTTTTATATTTTGAAAGTAATATATGTATGTACATAATTCATCTAAGCATTTATTTAAAAAAAAAGTTATAAAACTAAATGTAATTTGCATGCAAAAGAAGTCGGAAGTGTTACTATTTATGGGACCATTATATAAAGCCCATCGCAATTAGTAATTAGTTTCTGGAATTGAGCTTATCGCAACATTTTACCGTTTTCCCACAACATCAAGCCAATCGACAATGCTTATTGAAGTGAGTCATTCAACAATATTGATGATCCTAAGTGAGTCACCCTGTGTGTTTGCTAACACAAAGCTCACTTGATCAATTGGTTTTTTGGCGTTGATCTACATAAATTTGCTTCCGTCTTATTGGCTATCGATGTTTGAATTATTTATTTATTTATTGCTATTTCGCCCCTGCGTTTTTTCTGTTTTGTGAATGGCGTCAAAGTCAACCGCTTTAGCCACTTGTGTAGAGTATAGAGCAACCGCAATGCCGCAACATGCGATTAGGAGGACCCCACCGAAATGGTGGTGGCCATGGCTACTGGCTGGAGTCTTCACGCGTGGGTTGTGCGCCCATTCGCAACTTTCACAACATTTCCGTTTTGCGAATATTTTTGTTGTCGGAATTGTGGGGAATTGGTTAACTGGCGGGTGGCTTTTACGTCAGGGGCGCCTTACTGCTTGCGTACATTTCTCTTTACAAACAGACGCACACACAAACATACACGCACAGCTATATGTATGTGTTTGCCATTTGATAAGGTTAARCCCGCATAGGACGCACGCCCACGCCATATCGCACTAATTGTTGTTGTTCTTGTTGTATTTACTATTAATATAACAATTTGGTTATATTTATAATACGGTAAAAAAAATATCGTCACTTATGTGACTGATAATTGTTGCCAATTCGGATCCCATAGGGGTTGCCCGTGCGGCGTCAACTGTCCTAGAGAAGGTCAGCTGCCTTGTCGATAACAATCGTGCATATGYTATTTATCGATCATTATGTAAGCGTAAGCAAATTAAAAGCATCGATCATTTGGCGCTAGTTAATTAACATAGCCAAAAATAAACCATGCAAAAATATGTAAACAAAAAGAAGAAAAAAACTAATAAATAAATTTCGAAATTTATTTTTTGCAACATTAATTTGCAACAATAGCATTTGAAAGGCAATCAACAAACTTCGGCCAGGGTTGCCTTTTAGCATTCTTCTACTGTTTCGTCCACTTTCTTTTTGGGCCACTTTACATTTACCAATTACCATTTACCACGCTCTTTTCGACTGCCAGCGAAACAGGCAAAAGTCGAAACCAAAGCGCAAGCCAAAGCGTAGCAATTTTTCAAGTTAAAAAGCATTTTTGAATTGTGGGAGCACCTTTCACTTTACGCCGATGATCAACATCATGATGATGTTGATGAAGAAGAAGAAGAAGAAGAAGAGGAAGAAGAAGAAGTAGCAAGCAGCAGTAGTAGTAGCAACAGAAAGACGGTGAGACAGACAAGCATTAAAATTGAAAAGAAATAAAGAGCAGCTAAAAATGCTGTGCACAACACACAAAGCAAACCGATACATRCATACATATGTCAGTTAAGTATGTGTGTGTGTGCCTACAAACATAAGTACACATGTACACAGACAGGCATACACTCACACAAGTGCATTTTTATAAATGTGAAAGGTTTTCGCTTGCTGCAACATTATTTAATCAATCCAATTTGTGGAGCAAGCGAAAAAAAACCAAATCGAAATATATATAATGACATACATATAGACAATACGAAACTAAAAAAAGAAGAAAGACAGAAAAAAAACTATAACCAGTTTAATTATTTTATGAAATTGTATTTTGTTGCTTTGGTTTTTTTTTTTTTTTTCATTTCTTTTTGTCATTTACACCCTTCTTGCTTTGCCTGAAACTACGAACAAAAAAAAAAACAACAAAAAAAATCAGAAAAATAAATTTAAATAAAATTGTATAATGGATCGAATGCGATATGCTAATGTCTACCAGATAAGTATGTATTTACATACATACACATATGTRTGTACAAATGTATGTGTATATCTTAAATCCAAAAACCCTACGGCGGCTCATTTAGAGTTTTGTATTTGAATAGATTTGGAAACGTTGAAAATGTGGAAAACGTTCTCATTAAATGCATACGTCGCGTTGCACGTGTGTGCAACAGGTGCTCATTTGCATCGATTGTGGTTTGCCACCGATAGCCAAGCGTACAATCGATATATGAATCTGTGTGATGATCATTAGATGCTTAAGCTATTGCTTAAGCGCTTTTTGCGGCTTAAGTGTCCGCTGAACACTCGAGGGCAGGTAGCACTTGACTTCACCTTTCATCGAACCTGAAGACAGCGAGAGAGACAAAGAAAAGATCACATGAAACCTGCAGCAAACGAACTGTTCACCGATGCTCCACATCTTTGATTTGTTCGTAACTTGGCCCCCAGCGCCGCTTTGCTACGATCTACAGCATCAACAACAGCAAAAGCAACAGCAACAGCTGGGAAGCAGGGGGCATCGTGAAATGCCTGTGAGCATTTATTTTTTGCTGTCTCTTGGCTTTCTTTCATCATCAAGCTCCCCACAATATCTCTTTGTATATGTGTCTCTGTCTGTGTGTGTTTATGTTGCCCGTTTTGGTAACATTTTTCAAGAATTGCTAATTCTCAACAATTCCAAGGTTCGTTGAACTCATCATAAACATACACAAACACACATACATGCATATATACGCTAAAGGCACGCACAGCACACACACATACACACTAACACAGTTGTACACTTTATTTACGCTTCTCTGCTGCCGCTGCTACTTTGCCGATTCTTGGCCGCTGCAGAGAGTCGGCTAAAATATGGAGAAAGCACTTGTGCAGGGATATACAAACAAACGTATGTACATGCAAACGAGGGTGGATCATAAAATGTGGCTTGCGAAAACATTCCGTAGCTTTTCTTCTCTATGCCAGTGTGTCTCTCTATATTGGAATGCAATTATGTAGTTCAAGTCGAGAGTCATCGCCATTACATTGAGTTATCGATGCAGGTCTCATCACGAGCCGCATTTACGATCACCAAATGTCATCGCAATTGCACGTCACGTTCGCTAGTGTCGTTAATGCTCGAATACTTTTAAAGCCACCCTCGCGCATACCAGTGAATGCCTTTACATGCATAAGTATACATTTGTATGTATGTTTGTATGTACATAAGGCATATACAATGCACGCGTGCAAACGGTAATCAATGTTTAAGTTTATATGCCGAGTACGAATAAGTGGTAAGCTTGAAAGAAGACCCACACAGACAGACAGCGCAGAGAGAAAGAGTAAGAGACGAATAGGAGAGAGAGAGAGAGAGAGAGAGAGAGAGAGTGAGATTCATACCTGTAGCGGCACGCAAGCCGGCTGACACACAGGCACACGCACACACACACACACTCATGCATGTATGTATGGCAGTGCCCGCGACGACGACGTTCCCTTTTCTTATGGCCAAAACTGGATTTCCCATTTGAGTGTGGCTTAGAATGTGAGCATTTTTTGTCGAGGCAAAAAAATATATATTTTACATACTAATGGGCTTTTAAAGCCAAGCGTAATTACATGCACTTTTTATCATGCTACAATCACACATACATACATACGAATATGTGTATAGTTACAAAAACAATTGACACATACATACACTTACTCTCATGCAGAAAGTGTCGCATTTATATGGGTCAACAATTTATGGCCGTAGATTTGTTTACAGCAATTAAGTAAATTCAAAATGTCTTGCTTTTATTCTACATACACACACATACATACATGCAAATGTATATGTATCTCTAAGAGCGTTTATTTTGTCAAAAACTGGCACATTGAGATTACATCATCGCGGCCAATTTCGCATTCTGGATATTTWTATATTTTGGGAGTAGAAGAAGAAGCAAACTTGTTCCTGGCCAGCGGCAGACAACAAACAAACACTTGTTGCAAATCGCATTTGATGATGAGCATCCAGCTCTCGACATGCACATGGCTGTTATTCAAGGTTGTTTGGTTTTTTGCGACTAATCGCACTCACGGCACCATAAAATGCGATCCATTTAAATTTAATTTATTAATCTGTTACACATTTTTTGTATTTTACTTTTTCCATTAGCTTTTTGCAAGTGTCGCAAAATTGGCGATGAGAGGCGAGCAAAAATTGCTTGTAGAGTTTCATCGTTATCGATGGTTGTGTCCAAAGGACATGCAAAAGAGATAGAGAGAGAACGATAACAGCTAAAAGCTTATCGAAATGTCTGACAGAAAGGCGCACTTTTTAAGTAGTTTGCCAACGTTGACATAAATTTAAAAGAATATCGAAACAAAATTTCAATGCCCTGTCCACTTCAGTTCTTATGGATTGATAAAGCTTAAATTACTTTTATTTTGATTTTGTTTGAATCTATGAGAATTTCAAGGGTACGATAGTGCCGCCGTCGCCTTTGATAAGATTGACAAACAAAAATACAAATACAGACTTCGTAGACGTATGCAAGGCTGCCCATCTTTAAATTTGTATGTATGTGAATATGTGTATGTATATAATTTTAAAAATATTGTACTTATTATTATTGTACTGAGCTATCTGCATGAGTCGTATATCTGTATCGCTGCGTTTTTGGTTTTACGTGTGCCAGCATTTCGTGCGAATCGCTKTTTAAATTATTTTCAGGGTATTTGTTGTTGTATTCTTGTTTGCACAAATAAATGTATAAATATGTATTTGTATATATGTATATATTTCCACTTTTGTTCCTAAGTTATATAAGCGTGCGCGCTATCGCCGTGCAACACGACTGCGACTCCCCATGCCGTGTTTTTCATTCATTTACTAATTACCTTTGCTATTGTTTTTTCTTTTTTTCTGCTGCTCTTGCTGCGTTTTTTTTTACAGACGGAATCCTTGAAAATTAGCAGTGATCATGATATGCACGATTGGTTTTACGATCGTGATGTCAAGGATCCAGCTGTCATACTGCACGATAAGCTCATCTCCGATGCGCTGCTCAATGGCACGGGACCAATCAAAACGGAGCATTCCTACAGTCTCAACAGCGATGGTGATTCCCTGCCCGATTCACCAAAAAGCCTGCAGGCCAAAATCGATGGTATGTATTTGTTATCGATATCGCATTGGGATGGGGATTTCTGTTTAATGTATAAAAAGAAGAAGAATAAAGCAATAGATACTATCGATTATTTGGGATAACGGTTGAGTTAACGTTTTCTTGAGCTTTTCACGCTGTGGCTGTGTGGCTCTAGAGCCAAGACAAATACAGTTGCCAGTTGGTGGCTCYATTGTGAATTTAGGCCATGTACATAGTGAACGACAAAACATGACAACAACAACAAAAACACAGTTGAGCAGCTTCTGTGTTTTATTTTACTTTATTTTTTAACTGTAGCGGTAGCATTTAGCAATTTAACGCAGTACTCGTGCATGAAGTTTTGTACTTTGACGCGATATCAGTTATTGTTGTTGGTAATATTCCCGTATATATATTTGTATGTATGTATATGGGCGCAGGGTATATATAATTGCTGTTGGCCTGTTTTTTTTTTCTCTCTTAATTTTTATTATTTGTAATTTTATGGAAACTGTACAGCAACTGTGTAAATAAAATTAAAATTTATTAAAAAGAAGAGAACAACGTAACTGAAAAAACAATAGAACATTCATAGCTAGTATTAAATGCAAACACAAGTGGCATGCCACAAGCAGCTGCTGACGCGCGCGTATGCCTTCAGCTCGTTGATCCAAGTAGATCCAATGTTTGGATCTGTTTGCATAGTTACAGAGAACAATATCAAATAATTGTATAATATTTGCCAACTAGGCCAAGCCATAACAGAAGGCGAAATTCAATAAATTTAGGTTGCTCAGCAAAATATTTGTTCAGATATTATTTGATTTAACTTGTGATTAAAATACAAACGTAAGGTGCAAAGGCAAAATGTTGAATGTAGTTTTCCACTTGTGACATTAGAGGAATTTAAGAAAACCAGTAAAAAAGAATAGAATAGAATGAATAGTTCTTAAGTAGTAGACTCAATTTAAAATACATAATTTCATAATTGACATCAAATTTGTTGCCTTAGGTTATCTTGCTATCCAGATGAAATGATCTATTCAATTGTTCTACAATTCCCAATGCAATTTCGAAAGTTTTCACTAATCGGTTCTTCATAGTCTGTTCTGTTAGTCATGCCTTATGCAAATATGTTTTCAGTCTTAGTCTGATGCATTCACATTTTGCAGATGTTATTTTATCAAGTTGGCATAGAGAAAAATATGGTTTTTCTTTCCCAGTTCCCCCAGTTCCCTTAATTGTGGCAGACCTTTGATTCATGTGGAAAATTGTTAAGTGTTTTTACTGCTCATTCCTTTGCAGATATGGATGACGAGTGCTACTCTGGCAACAGTCGCATCACCATCGATCCCAAATGCCTAACACTACACCCGCCCGCAAGAAACAGTCGCAGCAGCGCCATGCTGAGCAGCACGAGTGGAGCCATCGCCAGTGCGAGCTCCGCATTGAGCACAGCCATCACAGAGTTGGCGGCGGCGAGCACAGCGCGAGCCACTGAGCTGAACCACCAGCACCAGCAACAGCAGCAACATCAGCAGCAGCAGCTCCACCAGCACCACCAGCCACAGCAGCACCAGCTTCAGCACCAACACGGCCAGAGCAGCAGCAGCAGCAGCAATGGGATGCACGTGACGCTGGAGCACTTTCAACTACCTCAACACTTGGCGGATATGTACGATGACAACGATTGCAGCTCGTCGGTGTCGTCGGCCAGAGAGGGCAGCATATCGCCGGACATCTGCTCGGATATTGAAATCGACGAGGCGATCATCAAGGATGAACCCATGTCGCCCGACTCCAGCTGCCCCG